TCTGTTCTCTTATTATTGTCTTGACTACTCAGGTACTATCTTTTTTTCAACCTTCTTTAATCTCAAGTTTACATTGAATTTTGTGTCTTGAATGGTTGAGGGAGCGGCGGAGCCACTATTTTTACTATCTTGATTTAAAATATGAAGAAGTAAATGCATGAAGAAATTAAAAGGGGGTTGGACATTTATTGTATATATTTAAAAGGTAGTTTTATGAGTGTATAAATAGTGTAATTTTCCATTGAAGGGCTATCCTACCTAAATTGCATTTTGTGGAAGTATATATATTGGATATGTTGTTGTTGCAACCTTCAAGTGTTTGATTTGAGTTTGAGGTAGGAGGGGTAAGTTCTGCGTAAACTCTATCCTGCTCAGATCAGATCTCATTTTGTGAAAGTATACCGGATGTGTTGTTGTTGCAACCTTCAAGTGTTTGATTTGAGTTTGAGTTGGTCACTAGAAAACAAAACAAAACGACAAGGGGAAAGCGTTGAAGTTAAGCACACCGTTTGAAACTATAGTGCAAGTAGGCGTTTGGACAAAAAAACTGGGATATTTGAGGGAACAAAAAGTACTATTCAAAAAAAGTTTAGATATTTGGATATCAAGGTGTATTTGGACATGCATTTGACTTGAAAAAAGTTTTGTTAGTGGAAGAAAAAAGATTCACTTAAAAAAATGGTTAAAATCACTTTTCCAAACTTTGTATGAAAAAACAGGCTCTAATATCTTTGTCTTGAAGTTCCAATCTTTGCTATTGTAATTTATGTTTCATGCATTTGGTATAGAGAAAACTTTTACACTTGGGACAATTTTTTGGATAATTTTCATGTATTTGGTTGGGTATAAATGTATTCAACATATATTAATATGAAGATGATAGTACTTGTGATACTTCTGAGCATAAGAGGTTGATGAAAGTGTCTGATGGTTAGTTGAAGTAAAAATTTGATATTTGTAATGGTACGTTACAGTCGCAAACAAACAAGAATGTCATTTTTTCCATTTTGACGGAAGTTTTTTCGTTTGAAGAAAACATTTTCCACAATCTAAGATAATTAACCAAACATTGGAGTAATTTTATCGACAAAAATGTTTACAAAAGAACATTTTCCGTAAATTTGGAAAGAATTTATTTCTGATAGTTATGAATTTTGTACAGATATTGGGGTATGGATGGGCAGGAATGTTGAGGAGATACCTCGTTGACCCTGTGGATATGTGGTGGCCATCAAACCTTGCTCAAGTTTCTCTATTCAGGTTCGCCTGATCTCTTTTGTAACTATGCTATGGCTGTCCATTCGTCTAAATAACTTTTTTTGCTTTTTCCAAATGCAACAAAAGAAACAAGTGACCAAATTCCACAATTTAAATATCATCGTTGTTGTTCGTGTTTCCATCTTTACATTTATGACTTTCTTACAACAGGGCACTTCACGAAAAGGAACCAAAAACAAGAAGCTTGACAAGGATGAAGTTTTTCCTTGTATTTATGGCTGCAAGCTTTGCATACTACGCTCTCCCAGGCTATCTATTCCCAATTTTGACCTTCTTCTCGTGGGTCTGTTGGGCGTACCCACATAGTATCACAGCTCAACAAATTGGCTCGGGATATCATGGCCTTGGTGTGGGTGCTTTTACCCTTGATTGGGCTGGCATATCAGCTTATCATGGCAGTCCACTAGTGACACCGTGGTCCTCAATTCTAAATGTTGCCGTTGGATTTATCATGTTCATATACATCATTATTCCTCTATGTTACTGGAAGTACAACACTTTTGATGCTCAAAAGTTTCCTATCTTTTCAAATCAGTTGTTCACAGCTAGTGGGCACAAATACGATACCACTAAAATCTTGACTCCACAATTTGATCTCAACATTGCTGCTTATGAAAAGTACAGCAAGCTCTACCTCAGTCCTTTGTTTGCCCTCTCAATCGGATCGGGATTTGCAAGGTTTACAGCAACCCTCACACATGTTGCACTATTTCATGGAAGGTTAGCCTCTCATTAAGTGTTATATACTTGTATCTTGTCATTTTAAATTTCTTAGAACTTGTCGCTTATTCTTGAAAATGAAATGAGATTCGTTGAAGTTTGATGACTAGAGTTATGTAAAGCAATTTAAATGGCATTGTTTCTTAAAGAGAGAAATAACAAGTTGATTTCTGAGAAGGTCACTCAACTGATAGTAGTCACCTGTCTTCTTGAACTGACAATCTGTTTCATTTCAACTGGGATAGTGATATTTGGAAGCAAAGTAGATCAGCTGTAAAGAATGTCAAAATGGATATTCATGCAAAATTGATGAAGAGTTACAAGCAAGTCCCTCAGTGGTGGTTCCTTGCATTATTGGTAGGTAGCATAGCCCTATCACTTCTGATGTGTTTTGTGTGGAAAGAAGACGTGCAGCTGCCGTGGTGGGGCTTGTTGTTTGCATTTGGTCTTGCTTTTGTTGTTACTCTCCCTATAGGAGTCATTCAAGCGACTACCAATCAGGTGAAGGCTCAATTCAATTTTCCTAATTGCTTAAGTGCTATTCAATAATCTTTGCCTCGATTTTGACCTTATAAAAGTTCGATTCAGTGACATAATAATTGTTATTACATTGCAGCAACCCGGATATGACATAATTGCACAGTTCATAATTGGTTATATCCTCCCAGGAAAACCAATTGCGAATTTGCTTTTCAAAATCTATGGCCGGACAAGTACTGTTCATGCTCTCTCCTTTTTAGCCGATCTCAAACTTGGTCACTACATGAAAATTCCGCCACGATGCATGTACACAGCTCAGGTTAGTTACTTCTTTCTCTGTTTGTCACTACTCGAACTATTTGCAAAGATGTCATAGTTTCCAATTTATTTCCCATGTTCCAGCTCGTGGGAACACTGGTTGCTGGTACAATCAACCTTGCTGTAGCATGGTGGATGCTAGGAAGCATCGATAACATTTGTGACGTTGAGGCTCTTCATCCGGACAGCCCATGGACCTGTCCTAAATTCCGAGTGACATTTGATGCATCTGTCATATGGGGTCTAATTGGACCAGAACGGTTATTTGGTCCGGGAGGATTATATAGGAATTTGGTATGGTTATTCCTCATAGGTGCATTGCTACCGGTGCCTATTTGGGTGCTAAGCAAAATGTTCCCGGAAAAGAAATGGATCCCATTGATCAACATACCTGTTATATCATATGGTTTCGCGGGAATGCCACCAGCCACACCAACAAATATCGCTAGCTGGCTTATAACAGGTATGATATTCAACTATTTCGTGTTCAAATACAGAAAAGAGTGGTGGAAGAAATACAACTACGTTCTGTCAGCTGCGTTGGATGCTGGAACAGCTTTTATGGGTGTTTTACTGTTTTTCGCGTTGCAAAACGAGGGGAAAAACTTGAAATGGTGGGGAACAGAGTTGGATCATTGTCCCTTAGCAACTTGTCCAACAGCTCCTGGGATTATAGTACAAGGATGTCCTGTTTTCAAATAGGCATAACAACAACAAGAATGAATGAATGGTTTTTACATAATTAGTTTTAGTGTTTCGAGGTTCAAACAAGTCCATCAACTGATGATAGCTTTTTGTGTTGTGTAAATGATTTGATTATAATGCAGTCACTACTTCTCCCTGAGTTAATTTTCTTCCTATTTCGTTCTTCAACTATATTTTCCCTTAATACGTATTATCTTATTACTCGCTTATTAAAAAAATAGATCGTTGTCCATATTCCTATGAAATTGTTCTGTTGTTGGGAGTATGAAGAATTTTGACACAACTTTCATTGATAGAATTGAAATATATACATAATGAGAAGTTAATTGAATAGATATTATTAATGAGAGATAGAAACTTAACTTAATATGTTCACTCACTTTTAACAACCCAAACTAAAATCTAAAAGAAATACTAGTAAAACTTTTTATGATAATTAAAAAGAAAAGATAAATAAGGTAGTTGGTCAAAACCAACCCCACTAAAAAATGAATACATTATAGTAAATGGTTTTAGTAGTATTTATTGAACTCAATTTTGGTCAACAAAGAAAGAAATAACGTACGTACGTAGTTGGTCAAAACCAATCCCACCAAAATTCCCATTGTGGTTTTATTAATTTTATTTTCTGTGATTCGTTCAACTAATAAATTCAGTCATGGATTGAGTCACAACTGTTTTGTAATTTGTTTTCTTGCCTTCCAATACCCAATAAAATAGTTGACCAAAGCTATAATTAATGGTGGTGCTTGACTTTATATCTTTCACATCTCGATTTTTTTCTATTACATTAACTACTAACATTAATATATCAAAATAATATATATTACCATAACATTTAAAAAATATCTACATGTTATAATTCATAAGACATACTCCCTCTGTCCCTAATTACTTGTCCACTTTTGAATTGACACACATATTAAGAAAACAATTAATGACATTGTGAGTTTACCATTTTATCCCTATTAATTATGAAGTGGATGAAAAATACTACATTTTTCAAAGAAATTAGTCATTTAATTGAGGGTATCATAGGTAAAAAAAATTGTCCTTTCTTGATTTGTCAAACAAAATGGACAAGTAATTAGGGACAACTATAAAAGGAAAAATGGACAAGTAATTAGGGACATAGGGAGTATTACATGTTATAATAGATAAAACTAACTGAACATATAGTGTAAAATTTTGATAGGTATGTATTAAACTCTTAGGATGTGTCTGGTTGGAAACAAGTTAACACGAGATTAATTATTTCACGATTTTATTCAAATCAAATATGAAATAAATTCATCATAAAATTAATCACGAGATTAGTTATCCTTTATCCCCAGTAGAAACGAGCCTCCTTAGAGAATTAATATTGCTTGTCTGCCTGTATAGGTGCTGATAAGATTAGGCTACCAACCTACCGTTAATCTTCCAACTTTTTTTATATGCAAATTAAATTAAAAGAATCTATATATAATTGAGATATATAGTAGCTACCTTTTCCATATAATTTGTCTCTTCGTTTCATTCCATATATATACATACATTAATTGATCATATTTAGAAACACAAATTAAGGATATCATATATATTAAAGATCATGATCCAAGAAAGTATTGTGATACTATTGTCCTTACTATTAATTGTGCCAATAAGTTGGGCAATTAATAATCCATTAATAGAACTTTCAAGTAGAGAAGAATTGGCTAAGATAGCTGGTTATGGTGAAGAAAAACTCTCTACTGTTTTCCTCCATGGTACTCTTCTTTGTGGTCACACGCCATATCCAGTTCCAGGTTAGTTTCTACTTTTTCTCGTACGTTTGTTCTGTTATTATAACATGATATGGTTATTATAAAAAGGTCTGAATATATTGATATGATGATCAGGTGCATCTGTGGCGGTGTTTTGCGGAACTAGTGGGCCGGGTCGGGTAAGGAAATCATCATGGGCCAAAAATGTAACAAATGAAAGTGGAGAGTTCATAATAGATGTCCCTTCTCATCTCCATGCTAATATTCATGATCCAAATCTATGCCATATTCAAATTCTTCATCTCCCAAAGGACTACTCACATTGTCATCATCATTCTTTTACAAAAAGGAAAACATTCACACTAACATCGTCCAATATTGGCGTTCGCGTTTATACGACTCCGACAATTTACCTGACCCCGAAAGCTAGCTCACGAGTATAATCCATGATAAGAGAAGAAGAAAAGGGATGGCACAATTTCTTGAGATGGCGCTTTAGTCACACACATTGAGTTGTGCACTCGTGATGCATGTTAAAATTTTATCAATGTACAATTTTTGTGTAGCTTCAAATTAAGTGTGTTGTTATTGTGTTTATGTTATGTGAGAAATTTAAATTTTCATAACATTAACTGTATTTCAATTTAACGTAAAAAAAGTGATTAGTACAAGTTACTTCGTGGTAAAACCAAACTTATTTTTGCTTTCTGGGCCCCTTTTATTAGAAAAAATGACACTTCCAAATGTCTATGCCATTTTCACTACCCTAAAAGCACTCAATTTTTGATAGAGACTTACAACCACCCATATACACTTTTTATTTATTTTTATTTTCATGCTATTCGATATCCGCTTAAGGCTTGACTAATTCATATTCACGTTGAAAAGTAAGGGATAAATTGTTCTCTATCAAAAGTGATGTCATATTCACAATTTGAATGTGAGATTTCTAATTAAGTACGAAAGGATATTTACCACTCACTTGCGGCCACCCATAGCTATAACCATCAAGGGTTCTGTTCCATTTCCGTTTTCTTCTAAAAAATCATTTACTTATTTAGTTATCTTCTTCTCAAACTGCTAAATAACTCACATTTTCTGTAAAGAAAAAGTAGTCACGTACCCACAATTTTAAAGGGAAAATTATTTTGATTTAAGTTATTATAAACAAACAGTTAAAAACATTTTCACATATCAGTATTATTTGACCTATAATAACACGTTAATTAGTTATCATTTTTATCAAGTTATTGTAGTTAATGTTTATTACTCCCCCCGTCCCATTTTACGTGGCACTTTTCGGATTTTGATATTCAAACAAGTCTATCTTTGACCGTAGGTTTTTTCATAGATCTTTTAAACATTTTGAATTATCAATTATTGTAACTTCTAGTACTTTTTACGAAGTTTACAAATATATAAATTTCATTTCAAAAAATTGAAGACTCCATGCGCAAATTTTCGATCAAATTTAAACCGTTACTCTCGTAAAATGAAAAGTGCCACATAAATTGGGGTGGAGAAGTATTACTTATGATCACCTTACAAGTGATCAATGGAGAATCTAAACTATTGTGTTGGGTTCACGAAAAACCAGTTTTTTTCCGCTCAAATTCTACATATCAATTAAAATACACACTTAATATTTATCTAACTATTTCCCATGAGACTATTATAGATTTTCACTTTTGAATATCTTAATCTCAATTGGCAAAAAGCTTTCAATATTGTATAAAGCCACTTCACATTATTCATGAAACCATCATTGAAACTTAAAAATAAGTGATTGAAGTTACCTTTGAGTAATGGAAAAGTCTATAATAGTAGATGTTTTTTTAATCCAAGAAATGAAGAAATTCACAAAAAATAGGAAAGAAAAGAATAAAGGAATTTCACAAATGATGTGACTCAATGAGTTTTAAGGTCCACTGGACCCAGCACCATGAAACCAATACATCATTGGGCCACCACTCTGTTACTACTCTTTCTACCCTAAATAAATTGAAAATTTTATAATTGACGAATTTAAGACTAATTATTATAGTAGTTATAACATTATTCTTTAAAATAAACTACTCTTTTCTTTTTCTTTATGATAAAATTTAAAATAAGTTGATGTAGTACTTATTCATTCATTAAAATATTAAGGTGACATAATTTCTTTGGTTTTTAACTATAATATATGTATACATCAAGGGAAAAAAATTACTCTTAATCATGTGACACACTTTTTTTAATCGATTTTCAAAAAAGAAATAGTCACATTTTTGTAATTTAAAATAATTTAACTTTAAACTTCTTTCATTATTCATACGAATTTCAAATGTTGAATCGTGAATTGGGATCGATGGAATAGTAATAACAATTACTTACTCATTTCAGTATGTTTGCCTTACTTTTCTTTTTTAATTCATTCCTTTTTTATAGCAACTTTTGATTTTAGCTTCTTAAATTAAGTCAAATTAAAATCAAACAAATATATCAAAACAAAAAGACTATAATATAATTAGTCATTATAGGATATTGTGCAAAACTAACATAGTTTCAAAGTTGGGACTAAATGCAAATTTAAAATAGTTGGGCTTTAATGTGAATGGGGAACACACTAAAGAAGTAAAAAAGAAAAAAACATAGTTCCAATTGCACCAAGTATTAATTTTCACCTTTCTTGAAATTATTATTATTATTATTTTCTGGTGTGTTCCTCACTTCACTCATCAGCACTCAATCTAATCTAAAATCTAAATGGAACCAGAAATCCAATTCTTCTTTCCTTCAATTCTCCATAAACATAATTCTTCTTCCTTTTTTTACCATAAACATTATTAATGTCAAAGTTAATTGTGATGTCATAAAAAAAGTAGTGGGTAAACCGTGTTTATATAGTTACACATAAGGAATGACTTTTTTGTAGATTCTTTTCTGAGTTTTGTTTAAAAAAATACAAACTTTAATGGGGAATGTTAATGGAAGAGAAGAAATTGATCAATCTGGTGTTGGGGTGCAAGAAACTATGGATGCTAGAGATGGTGAATTCATGGGTCAATCTCCACCTTCAAGTCCTAGGGCTTCTCATTCGCCATTGATGTTTAGACCTCAGGTCAGTTCTTGACAAAAAAATAAATGAAGGGGGTGTTTTTTTTGGTTGATTGTAGTATTGGGTTGTTTGTTTGGATGTAAAGATTTGATCTTTTGGAGGATTTGATGTAGATTTAGGCTGGAGATATTTGTACTTTGAAATTAATGGATAAACCTGAAGAAAGGTTGTTACTTTGAACAAATTTGTTTTGTCATCAGTTAATAAACTTTAAGTGGTACCTGATGTTGGTGGGAGGTGGAACTAGTCCAGGTGCGCGAAAGCTAGCCCGGACACCGCGATCATAATAAAAAAAACGTTAATGATTGTTTGTTTCCTCACATAATGGAATTCAGCATTTGAATTGAAGAGTTTTACAGCAATATTCAGATTGTCTGAAAATTGGCAAGTGCTACCTTTTGTATATATTGGAGGATGATTGAAAAATATAGATGGGGGAAAATTGGCTTTAGGTTAAGCACTAATGAGCATTTTAAGTTACCTAGCAAGAAAGGTTACATCTATGTATGTTGTGTTTATTTCTTATCAGAACTTGGTCCAGGATGTTGATCTTCTTATAGGCCGGGGGGTTCTCTTTTTGAGAGGGAATATGTGAATTTGTTTTTTTTTTGAAATGTTTTGTCTCAGATGCCAGTAGTCCCTTTACAAAGACCCGAGGAGTTGCACATCTCAAACCCTTCGTGGATGCAAAACACCTCAGGGTACGAAGACTTGAAGGATGAGCAAGGAGTTCCCACACTGATATCATGGACCTATGATGGCAAAGAAATTGCCGTGGAGGGATCATGGGATAATTGGAAATCAAGGTTTTTTATGCTTGATTTTATTCATCCACGTTTTACATTGAAAAAGACTGTTCTCAACTTTTTGAGCTTTAAGATTGCATGTTGACTCGGAAAAATTAAAACTCTATTTCTCAGGAACCTTTTGCAAAGATCTGGGAAAGATTTCACCATTTTGAAGGTGCTTCCTTCTGGAGTTTACCAGTATAGGTTTATAGTTGATGGACAATGGAGGTGTTCCCCTGACTTGCCATGCGTTCAGGATGAAGCAGGGAATACTTACAATATTTTGGATGTGAAGGTACATTTGTCATCTCAAAACTATCTCAGTCCATTTTCTCTCAAGAATTCTATTGAATTCCAGGCCTAGTTTCTATTGTATCTTTCTATTAGAGGATCAACGCAAAAATAGAAACTGGACGTCCAATAGGGATGTAGCTTATACACACACAATATTAAAATTTAAGTACTTATTGTGGGCCTTTGAGATTGTCTGTACACAACCTTGCTTTATTTGTCAATGTGAACATAAATATGAGTCAGATTAACTACCTTGTCAAACCAAGAAGAGTATACTCTTTATTTGTTATGCAACTGTAAGATATTAGTTTCCGAAATGAAGTTTTGGCTTGTGAACAGTGAACACTGTAAGGGAGTTGAGTTACAACTATGGAAATCTCTCCATCCTGGGCTTTTTTTCTCTGTGATAATGTCATCATGGAAACAAGAAATGTCAGCATATGGATCCATGTCCTGTTCAAAAATGGCATGGATATAGATTGTAAAGTGTTTTGGTCCAAAAGGTGGATATACTGAATCTAGCCTTTTTCTCAGTCGTTATATTATGGTGTCAATGCATCACAAACTGTGAATTGTTAGAGCCCTTGAGGTAAAATACCTGAAGATGTTTCTGTTTTGTCAAAGCAAATCACTGACTAAAAAAATTGGGTGAAGGTTTTCCTGAACCCACTCCCTATAGCCATTAAGAATCATAGAAGAAAGTTTATGGTTAAATTTAAGGTAGAGCTAATTATCTACACCGAATAATTCATCTTATTCTATGCCTTTTCTATATGTTTTCATCTTGCTTAGAGAATTGAGGAAGTTTTCAAAGTGAGGGACCAGCTCTTCTCTACAAATAATAGAAATTTGGTTAAGGCAGCTTTGTAACTTCTTTAGTGTTTTAGGTATCCCAAACTTAGGCCTTTTTTCTATGAGTTGTGTCGTTGATTCATTCACTGCAATTCTTCTATTTTCCTCCTTTTCTTCTCTACTGTCTATTCACAGCAATAGCAATTGTGCTTCATGCGCGCAAGCAAATTTGTCAAAACTATTCTCTTTTATATTTAAAAAAATATATTTATTCCATTTCTCATCAGAAGCATTCAAGATTCAGCCATCAATAAATTTAATTATGATTTACATGCTATTTTGCTGCTATTAACTTTCACAGATGCAACATAGTTTCTTCAAACTCATGTGGACTTAGCAAAGAGTTGAACCCAATGAAAGAAAAAGATCCAAAGATGTCTTAAAAGCAAATACGAAAAAAAACATAAACTGAAACAAAAATGCCCGTCTTTTTGGGGCTTTTGGTGTAGACTAGAAGAAGTCAACTCAGTGGATAGGGTTTTAGATTTTTTCAACTTCCTATTTTTATGTAAAGGAACTGAGTCTGTTTGTAATTTTGGCACAATCTTTGTGCTGACATGTATATA